CCTATTAGGCAGTAACCCAGGACTTTAAGTTCCAAAGGGCATGAACTTTCCTAGTAAATTTTATTTATGTTTTAAAAGCTGTTTAAACAGCCTTCCAATTTGCAGCAGTAAACTTACTCCTGAGCCTGCATTCTACTCAGATAATAGCAGTTGCTTCAGTACTTGCCAAATCTCTTTACATAACTCCCCATCTCAGGTTTCTAGATTAGGAACACTCCATTTCACATAAAGGAACTAAGTACCACTAAATATAGAGAACTGCTCTACTAGCATTCTCACCTGAATTTCTTCTTGAGTTGTGTAACATGCCATTGGAGGACTTTTTGCTAGCTTTCTTACAAGAAAAAACCATACAAAGCCACCATACCTATTTCTAAGGCAGTGTAAGTAGCTTAACAGAAGCTTTTCAAACTGTGGGGCACACTTAAATCCTTTGCACTTTCTGAAAAATCCTAGGCCCCAGCAGCCCTTAACAAGTTCATTTGACTAGACTGGTTTTGAGCTAACCCACTTAATTTGGCTGCTCAGCAGCTTTGCTGCCTCAGCTCCTGCAGGAGTGCCAGGCTGTGCATACCAAGCGTTCCAGAGATGATGTCCATCTTGTGCATGACCCCATCTCGGTCTCCTATCCCACCTCCTCGGGCTCCGTACAGCCCCACAGCGTGCACTTCATCCACAAAGGTGATGGCCCCGTGCTCGTGGGCCACATCACACAGCTCCTCCAGAGGACAAACAGCACCTAGGAACCAAAGCAGTGACTGGCAGTTTAGGATTTTCTGTATGACTGGAAAAACCCCAGAGGTACCCCCAAGACAACCCCTACAGCACTGTATACTTTGAGACCTAAAACACAGATGATTTGAGGACTAATTGCCCTAGAAGCAGAGAGGAGGCTTTGATGGCAACTTACCATCCATTGAATGGACAGTTTCAAATGCAACAATTTTAGGGGTGGATGGATCAGACTTTTTCAATAGCTCTCGAAGATGGTTGACATCATTATGGCGAAATATATGTTTTGGCACCCTGCTGTTACAGATCCCCTGGATCATGGAGGCATGGTTTCCAGAATCAGAGTAGATCTCGCAACCTGAGGAAAATAGGTTACAAACCCAGTTACATTTTAAGTATAGAACACATTAACTGATTCCTAGCATTGCATTATGTATGGCAAGAGTTCAGGAAACAAGGGTAGTTTGTTCTTGAAAGTAATGCCCTTTGATCAAAAGAGCAAGTTACAGATCATGGAAGCAAGAATAATATTTGAGGTTTATTTTAGGTATTCAAACTAACATAAACGAGAACTTGACAAAATAGTTATCAAACTCCAACTTCTGAATTGAGAGAGAAGTTCACCCCTTCCAGTGGGAGGACACTAAATTCCTGCTGTCTCATTTTCAGGTAGAGTTTAAACACAAGAACAGAAGACTCAGCTTGTGTAATTCCTCAAGCAGTTCACAGCTCATAGATCTCAATCTCAGTAGGTTGATATTGACATTTGTACTGAACATAACTTGAATTTGGTATTAAAACCAGCAAACCATACTCTGCCCATGGGTTAGGGCAAATCCTCACTTTGGACAGCCATTTGCAAAACATACTCCCAACAGCTTAAGGCAAGGCTGTGTTTTTGTGGCAACACAGGTGCAGTTTGAGATCTTACCTGGCAGCATTTTAGCTAGAGTGAAGAGAGTGGAGTCATTGGCTACAAAGCAAGATGAGAACAACAGTGCTGCATCTTTTCCATGAAGATCAGCTAGTTCTTTTTCCAAGTCAACATGAAATTTACTTGTTCCCGATATGTTTCTGGTGCCTCCTGCTCCAGCACCATGTTGTTTCAGTGTTTCCCTAAAGAGGGCCCAAGAGAGGCATTAGCATTGCTGTGGGAACCACAGAAGAGTAAAGGGTCATTGCTGAAAACATTCTGGTACATAATCAAGACTGTTCTAAAGAAGAACTGGCAGCAAAAAGCAGCTGTTGGGTCTCTGAGCAACCTGCACACTCAGGAGTCCATTAAGGTCAGATGTCAGTGACCAAGCACAGCTGGTATACCATCCAGTTTATCTGGCAACATCTGGGGCTTTTAAGGAAGATCCGAGGAGGACCATCAGTGACCAATACACACAGTGTAGCCCTGGATCGAAACATTAAGTGACCACCCAATAAACAAGTGCAATCTTAACTGCACAGCAAGAAGCGACTTATGTCCCACAGTATAGAAATCAGCTTTTCAGAAGCCTTCCCACAAAATACAGCTTGAAAACACCTCTTAAGAACACAGCACCACTCACATAACTGCTCCACAGACCCGAGGGTGGCGGCTCATGCCCAGGTAGTCATTGCTGCACCAGACAGACACCTCCTTCTTGGTGATCAGGGAATCAGTGTAGTCGTCTGCCATGGGGAAGATCTGCGCCTTCCGGTTCACGGTCTTGAACACTCGGTAGGTGTGATCCTTCTTCTTCTCATCTATCTTCTTCTCAAAGAACTGATCGTACTGGAAGGTGGATACAGCTGAAAGGAGACAGACTTCAGCACACAGGAAATAATCACAACAGACTAGGCTTCTGGGGGTTTTGCCAGACATTCTTACATTTTGGCAAATTATCCTGAAGCAGATGAGAGACACTTTCCGGTTTTTGCTTCAGCACAATATCCTTAAACTTCTTGAGCAAGCCACTCTGCTCTGCTCCCTCAGTCTCAATCTTTCTCACTGTCGAAGTACTTGGTATTTTGGAAAATTCTGTACCTACAGATATTGGAATAAATTCCAGTGAGTTTGTTTGGTTTGAAACAGAGTGAAGTAAGTTGAATTCAGCAAAGCAAACATATAAAGTAAAACCAACATTTCAATCTTTAGGAAGGACATGTCCAAAATCCCATGTTGATCCTGCTAGGATGAACTATTTTATTTGCTTACAAATTTGCCTTTGACAAGACAGAAGGATTAGCCTTGCTAATCAATCACAATACAACAGGCAAATTCCTTATAAAGTATTTGGTTCATCATGACTCAAAGAGCCACACTATACAGCTACAGCACTCATCTGAAAGGATTCCATACACACCTAATGGAAGGCAGAGTTCTAGTCAGCTGCTTCCTTTTTGTTCTGTTAGCACAGATTTTTAAACTATGCCACAGAAGGCAAACAAAAGTAAAACAAGCCTTCTGAAACAGGCAGCAAGGCTTTACTGACACTGCTGAGAAGTTCCTTCCTTTGAAGGACAGCCCTTCCACACTACCACTGCAAGCCAACCAACATTCTTTAATTCCATAAGCACCAAAACACCACCCCAAAACCATTTGCCTGCTTTCAAGCGTGGATTTGTGCTGGTACTTGCCTGGTGTCTCGATACTTTGAACCATCTTTGGATATAAAACCTTTATCTAAACCCGTACCCTGGCAAAGCTCTCTTCAGATCTAAGCATCTGCTTGGGTACAAGTGTAACAGCTTGAGTCACACATCTAGAGCCAGCCAGCACATCAAAATACAGCTCATGGTATTCCCACATTGAAATCACCCAGGGAAGCCCCGCACAACGTCACAGGTATGTCATTAACACCTACATTCTCCAGCAGCTCTTCCCTGCCGTCTCCCATAATCCCAGCTGCATCGTTTCAGCGGTGCCTGTCAGACCTGGCACGCTTCAGATGCAAGTCAGGCACCAGAGGCTCTTGGGAGGAATCACTGCTTCAGTGCACAGAGAACATACCTTTCCTGTCAGCCTGCACTTCCTGCACATCCTCCTGCAGTTCCAGGCTGGCTTTGCAGAAAACGTTGCTCTTCTTGTGGTTCATCTGAGCTGCCAGGAATGGGCACTTGGTAGCCGTACTCTGGCTAGCACTGGCAGGTGGGTGGCCAGCAGGAAGCTGGGCTCCATCTGCATTCTGCTGGGCCACTTCTTTGACATTTTTGGCCTCTGATATGGGGGCAGAGAAGGGAAAACAATTCAGCTTCATCATTTTAATACCCTGACTTCCGTTTTTTGATGCATTACTTTTGCAATTAATTTGCCAGGACCCATTCAGAACTATTTAACTGAGCAGTCACATTTTATTTACACAAGTGCAAAATCCCAGTTAACACCCAAGGGACATCTTATTTAAGATGCCAGATCTAGCACTGTACCCTTTGAGGGGCAGAAATACCTCTCACTCCCAACGGGAATATTTAAGGAAAGACTGGATATGACAGTAAGTGCTATGTTTAGTTGACATAGTAGTGGACTGGACCTCAGAGGTCTTTTCTAACCTAGCTGTGATTCTGTGACCTTCTTTCGAGGACTTCAGAGATTTTTCAGCCATGCAGCTTCTGCTCTGAGCCTCAACTCCTTCCTCTGAGTGCCCGGGGAAGAATTCCCCAAGGAATGCTCCCGGGTGGCGTGAAGGGCCACCGTAGCGTGAGAAACACCGCTCAGAGACCCAGGATCCCGGATCCCCACCCGGGGCTCGCCTCGGGACGCCCCAACAGGCCGGTCCCTGACTCCTGCCACGGTCACACATTTCCTTACCGCGGACATTTCAAGGATTAAGCAACCCCTGCCTCAGCGCTGCCTATTCCAGAAGTTTCCCCCCCGAGACATGCGATGTCTGTGTTATTTTTTCCCAGCGAGACATGCAATGTCTGTGTTATTTTTCCCCCCTCACGGGGCCCGCTGTGCCCTCGGCTCGCTCCCCGGCCGTACTCACCGCGGCCCGCGGGGCTCTCCTCCTCCGCTTGCTGCCCGCGGGCGGCGGACGTGGCGAGGGCGCGGGCGGCCGGCGGGGCCGCCTCCATCATGCGCGGGCAGTGCTGGGCGTACAGCAGCAGCGACGGCCCAGCCTTCTGCAGGAACGCCTGGGACACACGGGCCAGGAACGGGCAGCGCCGCACCACCGCCTCCATCCTCGCAGTCGGACGGGACACCGGAGGTGACGGCAAAGCAGCACCGGCGACGGGGAAGCGACACCGCGCCGCGCTCCCGCACTGCCGCCTTTATAGAGCCGGGGCCGCGGCGCAGGCGCGCTGGGGCTGCGCAGGCGCGGGGAGGAGCCGGGGCGGCGCCCGGCGGCTCTGGGGCGTTGTGAGGGACCTCGGAGGGCCGTGGGACAGCGGGAGCATCCCGAGGACAGGGGGAGACCCCGGGGGTCGTGAGGGGCTGGGGGTATCCCGGCCCCTGGCGGTCGTGAGGGCTGGAGCGGGTGTGGAGCCGTGGGGGAGCAGGGGCGCTGTGAGGGTGTGCGGGACGCTGAGCGCTGCCGCTGTGAGGGCACGGAGGCGGCTTGGGTCCTGCCGGGGCTGTGAGGGGATGGGGCAGCCGGCCCTGCCGGGGCTGTGAGGGGATGGGGCAGCCGGTCCTGCCGGGGGCTGTGAGGGGATGGGGCAGCCGGCCCTGCCGGGGGCTGTGAGGGGATGGGCCGCTGCTCGGGGTGTCCCACAGCCCCGGGCTCTGCGGTACTGGTTTCCCAGAAGGTTTGGGCTCTCCCACAGCCCCGGGCTCTGCGGTGCTGGTTTCCCAGAAGGTTTGGGCTCTCTTGCCCGCAGGACAGGAGACTCGGGGTCAGCCCAGCGCGCCGGGGAAAAGGCGAGCTCTGAGCTGGGGGAAATCCAGTGTTGCTCGGAGTTTTATTCCTAAATGCCCTTCTGACTGCCTGCACAGCCCCTGCCCTGGGGCTCAGGTGGTGGTGGTGGGATCCTCAGCTCCTCTCACTTTTCCTACAGCTGGTACTAATCTAACAGCTCCTCTGTAGGTGACGCTCAGACTTTCACCATTGCGGTTTTGCCGGGTTTTGAAGGCAAGAACAACAGCAACAAGTAAAATAGAAGCCTTCGTTCTCTGGTTTACAATGGACATTAAAGCTTGTTTGCTTACAAGAGTATTTGGTGGGGAGCATAATGCTAAGAGGAGTTCTTACGTGTGTGACCATCCAAACCACGGTAGTGCTACTTCCTGTAAGCACTGACTGCTCAAGTGCGGAAAGAATGGAGAAGGAAAAACGACAACGCATTTTTTTCCCCCGCATCTTGTGAAACAATTTCACGGAAGACAGGATTTGGGTAGAGAGCTAAGAGCTGTCTTGGGCACTTTGGGGCAGGAGTGGGTTTTGTAACAGGTGTGGAGTTTGGAGGAGAGCTTTCTTAAAGGTCACTCTTGGCTCTTGCCTTGCATGAAGTCGCATTGTATAGTTACTAGAAGGTGCTCATGTAGCATGACTAGAGAAATAAAAGCCTGTGTAGGACTGTGGCTGCTGAACACAAATTTGGCTATAAGAAAGCACTTCTAAAAGTGTTGGTTAGCATTTAGGTATTGCAGATTAATCTTTAATCTGGGGGACAACCAGCAAGGTATTTGCCTAACCCTCTTTTATTCTCCACTGACTCACTTTGAGGATGCTGCATGCAGTTTGTAAACTTTGGAATCTGAGTAAATTGGTCAGGAGGAAAACCTTATAGTCAAATGTCAGATTTGATGTCAGCTCTACTGTGTTACTAAGCTCTGAGGCAGGAAATGGGACAGAGTTCTGCCCTCATGTAGTACTTACAAAGCCCTGAAAAAGTTAGCTGGGGTTTTACAAGGTAGGGTGTGAGATTTGGGTTTTAGTAGGGCTTTAGTAGGAGTGTTTTAAGAACAATTTGCTTCTTGCTTATTAGAAATTTAAGACAGTGTTATAGAAGAAGCCTCAATACTCAGATCTTAACTCAGTATTTGTCAGTGTAATGCATAATTGGCATCATTAAACCAGATATGTGCTAGTTTTAATTTGTTCTGTAGATAAATTATTAAAGCAGGGCAGTGGTATTTGACCTCAGCCTCCGTAGCAGTTATGATAGCAGCAGTCCTGATTGTTTGGTAGTACCAGGATAGTGTTTTGAATTATTATTTCAGTTGCTCATTAAGAATTTATTTTTGTTTTTTTTTCTCTCCCACAATTGTGTTTTGGCTAGTGTTACATACCTCAAGTATTTAGCAAAATAGTAAGTTTAAAGACACCTGATCTGTGTTTCAGATTACTGCTGTCCTCGTTTCCTGGAACAGCAACATTTGATTCTCTACCCTGAAGTTTTGTATCACATCAGTTATTCTAAAGATTGAGGGGACATCACGGCATTCTAACTTGTGGATACCTGACAAGTGTCCTTAGAGCACAGTTAATGTGTCTGGGCCTAAGGGATCACTCCTGTGCTCCTGGGCTTAATTGCAGTTTTAGCAACAGAAATCAAGTCCCAGAAGCTTGATTTATAGTATCTTAAGAGTATTTTTCTTTCTCCTCCTATTTTTCCCTTAACAATCATCCATCATACTTAGCTCAGAGGGAACGTGTGTTTTGTTGTAAGAGGCACCAGAGAAAGGTGTTGTGCAAATGAGCACAAATCTGCTGCAAGAGGCTGCAGAGCTTGTCTGCCTGGACACCTGCCACAGCAGGTTAGATCCCTCAGAAATCCGATAATCCTCCTTTATCCTGGTAATCTGAACAGCAGCATCTTGCCATGTTGTAGGGCTGAGGGATAAAGTGTGTTAGTCTGCTTGGTTGCTGGAATTCAGAGGCTGGTGGGTTTGTATTCAGCAGTGCATGTGAAGCCTGAAGAGCATCTGCTTTTTCCACAAACGTCATTCAAGGCTGGCAGCTGAGACACGGCGACCTTGGCTACAGTATGGAGATCTCCAAATGGAGCAGAACTCTCCGCTTTCCTGTCAGACTGCCCTCCAATCTGTGCTGTTCATCAAACACTGCAACAACACTTCTTTTAAAGCTTGATTTTGGTGAATGTATTTAACCTTGTACTTGACAGGAATTGCGCAGAGCAGGGGAACGACATTAACTTGACCCTCATCTTGGAGGGTGCTGTCCTTGTCAGTGCACGGAGCTGGCTGGAGCTCTGGGAGCAGGGAAAAGTCAGGAAAAGGGTGGCTTGTCAACTGCTCTGCCAGTGGCCTTCCTCCCTTTGGAAATACTGCCAGAGCTTACGTGTTGAAGGTGAAGTAAATACTAATAAAGCTGCCGTTAATTAAAATTTCTTAAGGCTTCAGTGGATTAATTAAACAGTTTTAAGGGTGTTAATTGTGGCAGTGTATTACTGCCATCCTAGAGGGCTCAGGAGAAACATACGCTGTTTGCCACGCTGCAGGAGGAGCACAGTGTGCAGCAGGGCCAGTGGCAGCCCAGAGGAGAACAGGGTGCCCATCCTGAGAGAGAAGAGCAGGCTTAGATCCGAGAGAGGCAGCAGGTACAGCAGGCAGGGGAGAAGGAATGGCTGCTTGGCACTGCAGAAAGGGCAGAGTAACGTAATAAAGGAGGAAAAGGCTTTAAGCAGAAGGGGTAGCACTGATGTGAGAACAAATTTATTCAGCTGGCCCTGACAAAATGTAGGGCAGAAGGTGAGTAGTTCCTTGCTGTGTTTTGGAGCAGCTTTTAGAGCTGGTCCCTGAGACCAGATGGATTGAGCAGAGGAAGCTCAATCTGCCTGAAAGGCCCATGTGTTGCAGTGGCAGAGGAAGAGAAGGGAAGACTCAGGTATCCTGAGAGCCTCTGCTGCTTTTAGTTTCCTAAAGCCCATTCTGTTCTGATTATTTGTCATTTTCTTAGCTAAATAAAAGTTAAGGGAAAGCAAGGTTAAATTCCAGCAGTTTGGTGGGTGAGAAGCCACAGAAAGTGCTTCCCACAGAGAAATTGAAATGGGGGAAAATCCCCTGCCACAAGATCAAGTTAATGTCTGCAGATGTCTCTGAAGAGTTGCTGGTGAACATGGTCTCTTTACATGTTGCTGGTTTACCATGTAGGGATATGTGTAAATTACCTTGAATACTTCCCTCCCATCTCCCTCTCTCAAGCATGTTTTCCCCAGTATTCCTGGAAGCAGAACTTGGTTCACAGGTTTGTAGCATTAATCTGCCCTTGCATTTGCCTGCAGGTAGCTCCTTTCATATAATTTTCATTAATTTTATGCTTTGAAGAGAGCATTTAGATATTTAGCAGAAAAGCAAAGGTCAGAGCCCTTCTGCATTCAGCCTGTTCAAGTGAAAGGCTATAACTGCACCATAATTAGCAACATCTAATCCCTTTTGCCCACTTCTGAAGTCAGGGCTGTGCATATTCCTAATTTTTTCCCATCCTGTCAGTGTCAGAGAGGGCAAGCCAGAAAAACAATTCCCCCTCCCCATGCACAAACCCTTGTCTATATTGAGATCTGAATTTTCCGAGGGAGTGGGTGTAATCCTGACATCTGGATTTAATCCAGACTCAGATTCCAGGCTTCATCTGAGAACTTCCACCTCCGGTCCTGAGACCAGCAGTTCTTAGAGAGGATTTACTTTATTTACCTTTTAAGGCAATATTGGAGTCTTGTCATAGCAGCCGCATAGTGACAGTTCTTCTGCTGGTGAATTTCTTTTAACACGTTTCCTGATTTGAAGCCAGTCTCTTCTTTACAGGACAGAAGAGGAAATCTCATTCCTTTCTAGGACCCCTAAGCAGCAGAGCCTTTGAGCAAGCTGGAGGAGCTGCTGAATGCTGAGGCTCGTGTTGCAGAGTGGCTGAGCAGCACCCCTGAATCACCAACACGGGCCAGGCAAGATCCATACCCGTCTCATACAAACGAGAATGAGTTGCTTTGTTCCCTACTGTAGTGGATCTCCTAAAATTCATGGACTGCTGGTGAGCCCTCACAAGGCTGTTGGGTCAGGACACTTTTCCTGTATGCCAGGCCCCAGGACCTGCCCATGGTTGCAGAGGAGTTTGGTTTCCTGACAAAGTCCCATCACAAGGGCGTGAGTCAGGCTCAGTCCGGGCAGTGGAAGCTGTTGCCACCCTGATACAAGGTACCTCACTGTCCCACTGAAGGGCACCACCCCACACTGCTGCTGCAGTCCACAGCCCAGCTGATTAACACATCCAGCAATGGCTTATCCTAAGTCCAGAATATCTCCCTGACATCTCTCCAGTTGCTTCAGATGTGGACAATCACATAATAATATTTTTTTTTCATCTTGCATTGTTGAATTTGTCTTGCTTTATGCAGCACACATCAGGAAATGATGCACTAATCCTTCCAGCTATTGCGTGCTTTGCTGCACTTGCCATGACTTGCCTCCACACCCTCATTTCCTCCTCTCACACAGTTTTCCTCCTTCTCTTAGAAAGAACCAGTAGACCCCAACCAGTATAATTTTAATTATGGTTATTGAAGTTATTAGTCTGTCACTTTTCTTTCATATCTCAGGTCTCCCTTCTCCTCATTAGGTACTCAGTCAGAGAGAGCACCTTCTACATCCAGTTTAGGAACTTGAAGTCTACTCAACAGAGAGCAGAAATACCTTAGAAAATGTCAATTCAAGTGCTTCCTATATTGAAGGTGTGAGAGGGTGGGGAAAGGACTTTGATATTTAGTCAGAGCTCTCTATAGAAATCTGGAACTAGGGTTTCCAGAAAGTATTTAAACAGATTGTCTGCTCCACGCTATATAGGAAGGACAGCTGTCAGAGGAGAGAAGTGAGTGTCTCTTTTTTGAATTTAAATGCTTTAGGCTCAGAAAGACACTCAAGTCATGCTTATGTAGTAAAACATCTTTGCTATACCAGGTATCTCTAGTGAGAGCCCCTTATGTTGCTCATACCTATGCTGTTGTGGGCTTTGGCAGGCAGGTTGAAGTCAAAGCAGAAAGGGGATTGTCCAAGTCTTTGAAAATAAGAAATCAACCTATGGCAGAGAAAAATGCTGTGCTGGAGCCTATGGGCTCTCTCCCTTAAAGCAATGTCAATGTTAGGAGTTTTCTGTCAAGAAGATTGCTAGAAAGCAAGCAGCAGACCTTGTTCTCTCCTTCTTGTCCTCTAAACATGTTTTGGTTTTGGCTGGGATAGAGTTCGTGTTCTTCATAGCAGCTTGTGTAGTCTGTGCTTTGGATTTCCGATGATAACAGTGATGAGAACAAAGGGACTTCAGTCGTTGCTGGACAGTGCTTGTGCAGTGTTGAGGGCTTTTCTGTTTCTCACACTGCCCTGCCAGCAGGTAGGCTAGGGGCACACAAGAAGTTGACAGGGGACAACCCAACTGAGCAGAGGGATAATTCCACACCATACGACATCAAAATCAGCAGTTAAACTGGGAGGGTGGAGGTTGGCTGGGGCTGTCATAGCTCAGGGACTAGCAGGACATCAGTCAGTTGGTGGTAAGCAGCTGGTTTTTTGCATCACTTATTTTCTCTCTGTTACTTTTGTCCTCTTTTTTAGTTATTAAACTGACTTTATCTCAACCCACGAGTTTTTACATTTTCACCTTTCTGGTTATCTCCCCCATCTGACAGAGGGGGGCTGGGGGGACTGAGCAAGGGCTCTGTGAGGATTTGGTGCCTACTGTTAAATCACAACCAAAAATCATCTCTCTGTCTTGTCTACCTGTCCCATGGGCCTGCCATGAACACCTCAGAAAGCAGTAGCATAATTAAACTGCCCTCACTTCTTTCCAGTCACTACAGACTGATACAGGAAGTTAAAACCTTTGTATAAATTGATGTCCCTTTTTTTTGGTCAAAATGAGGATTCCCTGACTGGAGAGTTTTTAATCAGTACTACTTCCTGCAGCCTTTATATGCTGCCTTTCTGTTCCCAGGTGTAGAAATACAAGATTTCCTTTTAAGCCTGGGAATAGGGATAAAGGCATCCAGTGAAGTCCTGATAGTCACAACACACCTACTACTAAGGCTTGTTGTTTGTCTCAGCAAAGGCTTGTTATCCTTTTACACATCTGGTAACACAATTTCTTCTGAAAAGATCAGTGAAATTCAGTGAAGTAAGGAGTAGCATTTCAGAATGAAATACCTGCTGATGACGTGAGAAGGTGGGGGAAAATCCTGCTCCTGACTAGAGCCAAGCTGGGTGTTTCTGTGTAGGTGTTATCCCATGAATGAGTACCCAGTGAGGCAACAGAACTCTCTTAGCTGGGTGAACTTATCTAGTCATTTCATAGCATTAAATATTGCTGGTTGTGAGACAGTTTTAAGAACTGTCTTGGAGAAAGCAAGCAATAACAGAGTAAAAGGTAAAGCAGTTGTGATCTTTCATTGCTTCTGTCAATGGCCAGGGAAAATTTATTGTTTTAGAATTGGTTGTCATAGTTAATATTGGATGCTATAGTTGTACAGTCTGATTTAGCTCCTTGCAAGAATTAGTCCAAAGGGTTGAGGTGAAGTGTCCAAGCAGTAGAGCAGAAGGATGTCTCACATTTAAGTAGAGGTTTTCCAGACACGAAAAAAGCATGAAAGTGTGTGGTAACAGGGGGTACAAAACCTCACAGAGCCAAACTGTCCTGTGAGTGGAAGAGTCTGTGTAACACCACAGTCTGTGTATACACCAGAAAGGTGGAAGGATGAGCTTAGAGCCTTTTTAGGGTCCAGCTCCAAACTCTTCCACCTCCCAGTGTGCATTCTGCCCATGCTGTTTGCTGTGCTGTTTTGCAATAGTTCTTATTGCTTAACCTGTGAGATGCAAGACGTGCTATTCCTCCTTATGCACTGAAGATTACAGATAGAGGGTGGTGATAAGGTATTAAAATAAGAAGAGTATCAGCTATAGGGAAGAAGGGGCCTTGTGCTGAAATATTAAGGGAGGAAATTAGCACACTGTATCTCCAAATCTGAACTTGAAAGCTGCAGATCAGAGAAACTCTGTGACGTATTGAGATTATTGAAGTATACAAGGCTTCCATTCCTTGTTTGCTTTTGTTCTGAACTCTCCCAAAAGCTGCCAAGTGCTGTGTGTTCCCTGTCTTACAAACATCCTCAGTCATGCAAAGCTCTGGACTCCACTTCCAAGGTTCCCAGGCTGCTCTGCCTGCCAAGCAGCACAGGCAGTACCAGGAGCAGTGAGGATGCCAGAACAGTTGGACTGGGAGGTTTCTTGGCGTACTGTGACCCTGCTGGCAGCCTTGTCTGCATTGGTTTATTAGACCTGATTCTGCAGCTGCTTTGAGCATCATTCCAGCTGAGATCTATTGGACTAGAGGACTCAAAGGAGTGAGCTG